GCCAAATCTATTGGATAAAAATATCTGATCCACACCAAACCTAAAATAAAAATTGGTTCCAAATCGGTTCTCTGGACCAACCCTAACCGAGATATACCCGAACTGAATATTTTCTAATTATTATATTGCTCACAAACTTACCTATTCGAACTACCCAAAACCTGACAAACCGATCCGAATACAAAAATGCTCAGAGCTAGTTTCAAACACTTTTTAAAGCCATTTTTTTAAATATGATCACCAAAAATGTTTTGACCAAAAATATTCTCAAAATGAGCAAAGAAAGCCATTTTTTGGTTTTAAAACGCCATAACTTTTGATGGACATTTTACGTACAAACTTACAATCTGTGAACTATTCTACTGATTATCAAATTATTTTAAGATTGTCCATGAAACATTCTAGCATCTTGATAACCCGTCGTACTTAGAAAAAGTCAGAACTTATACAACAATTATATGAAATTGACTAATAGCGTATATATTTTATTTCTTAAAGACATAGAATAAACCAAATAAACCGATACCCTTGTGGGCTAATCCTCGTGTGTGGGCTACTATCCGGATTAGGAGGTAAATAAGAATATAAGAGAGTAAATAAATTAAAGAAACAATATGAAAGTCATGCTTAGATTATACTAAATTAGAGATTGTCCACTTGTTACGTGGATTTAAAAATTAACATGGTAAAATATGTAACAATTATAGCTTATTGATTATTTATGTATTTAATATTACAAAAAGTTGTTGTACTAAATAATTAGTTAGGTTAGAAGATTAAGTATTTGGAACAAATTGTTGGACATATACAATGTTATATGTGAACAGAAATAGACTGGTTCATTAATAAAAATTACAGCGTATATATGCATATGGAAGATATCTTCTTTTACAACTTGTATGTCTTTATAATTTATCAATATTCACTACGGTTCTCTAAAAACCGATTGATCGTCTTTCTTCTTTTATCAAATACGTTTGTTAAAAAAATCTATTGATCAGACAAGTTGTAGTATGTTCTGTTTCTATCGAGACATATGTAATATGTCAACAGAGATGTTGGAGTGCATCTTTGTGTTTTATTTTATTAGAACCTTAAATTATAAAGAAAAAATCATTGATGTTTGATTGTATATTTTGTCTCACTCTTTATATTATTTTTCTACGATTTTTATCTTTCACATCGATTCATTTGTGAATTATTATGTTTTTCTGGATTCACAATTTGTGGAGAAGTAAAGTTACCTTTCGAGAGTATTGGTTAGGAGATGATTGACAACTTTAACATTCTAACAACCTTAAAATTCTTAAAAACAATTATTAATTTTCTCAAACCATTTTTTTATTAATGTTACGATTCTTTTTATTAAAATTTTTTGTGAATTTTTGTTTTAAAATCGTAGTTACCTATCTAAAAATTTAAATATTTTTTGTATAGTATATTGTTGGGTTTAATAAATAAAATATATATTTTACGAACCGTTAAAAATTTATAATAACATATTTAATTTGGAATTATAATTTTTGTTGGATATCAAAGAAAAAAAAAATTGGTTATCTTTATATTACACTTACATTAAACTTAACTATTAAATTGAATTAATTTGTTAAAGTTATTAAAAATATTTTTTTCCTTTTCAATAAGTAAATAAAAAAAACAAATGTTAAAAAAATATGTGACACATAACATTTTTCTTATGATTTGGATTTAAAAAAACTGTAAAATATTATATAAAATAGAAGAGAAAAAAAGGGATTAAAAATAATTATAATAACATGTATAGGATGGGTAACCTAACTTTAGTTGGAGGAGTATAGCCGACAAAGGCATTATTGGAAGTGCCAAAACAAATAGCAAAGCTGTGACCAAACCCAACGAAAGGTTACACATCAACTTTCTTAGTCAATTACTCCAAGATTTTATTTTTTATCCTTGACGAATCATATTCCACCACATCATTTTTTTTAGTTTCTACCGCCTTTTATTGTTCTTCCTTTTTATCCTGTGCGTTCTACCAAAACATTGATTGATGAATACGTTCTTTGGCAAATAATTTTGTTAATATTTATAGCTTCTCTTCATAATTCTACAACTGCTTAGACCACATTTTGTAAAAATTCGAATTATAAAGCCTTCTTATAGAACCTAACTACCATACCAAAGGCTTTTGATATTGTTGAATGTACAACTAGCCATTGTAGCTAATGCTGGTCGAAATTTGTATAACGCAGCAAAGATTTTTAATTTTTTTTATTGTTTGTCAACATATTTTTAAAATGAATACTTTATATTTTGGTTGTTAATACTGTGTTAAATCAATAACAATTTGTTGTATATAGCATAAGATTCATAAATCAACTTGTTCCCTCTACTTTATCCTAACATTTTTGTTTAAATTCGACTTACATAATATATTAAAAGGTTTATTTCATGCATGTTAGTTTCAAAACACTCCAGATTATATGTTATACTATTATACTCCTTCCATTTTATAATATATTAAAAGTTTTATTCGATGCACATTTATGACTATTTTTTATTTTTAGTCATACTTTTTATCTTATTAATTACTCATACTAAAAAGACAATGCATTAACTAG